AACTACTACTTACTACTTGTACTACTATTCCTACTTTGCAGTTTTTTACTTATTGCGGATCTTCAGGGTAAGGATCCCCTGTGATAAACGAGGGGCTGCTGTATATGTATATATACATATACATATACATATATATTCCATACCATGTTTCTAAACTCAACGCTCTAAAAAAGCGCAGCATGTCATGATTTCAGCTCTCTGCCATCTGCCTGCTCTCTCGGCCACGCCCACTTCTCCGCTGCAAAGTGGAGATCAGCTGATCAGCTGCAGGTGGAAGCTTCTCCCACAGCAGTGGCCTAAACACAGGTGCTAAATCACTTAAAATAATTTGTTTTAAATTTAAAAAATCCATGCCAATTGTGCGGATCATCCATCAATCAGCCAGTTGTGTGTCATGTCCAATTTTACTTTGAAAAACTGCGAAAGAGTGAGTCCACGAAAAACGAACCGCAAAGTAGCGAGGGTCTACTGTTGTTGCATTTTCATGAACTGCTTAGCCATTTATTTAGATTTTGTCAAATATTTTATTCATTTTTTTTTTTTTTTTTATTTGGTGGAAGGCTTTACAAGTCAGAGGGGAAATATTCACAATGAAGAGTTGAAGAGTTGATCTAAATCAGCTCCATACCTTCACTGAATACTCCACAGCTGTTACTCTGTGCAAACATCTTTTGCGGACGAAAGATCCTGTCTGTTCCACTTCTTCCTTCAGCTCATACACATCTTTGAAGGCTACGTCTCCGCGAATATGCTGTCGGAGAAAACGCACAATCAGACACCTAAATACAACATTTTCATTTGACTTGACATATGAATGGGCAAACAGTCAGCTCTGTTGAAACAAAACCGATGACAGTAGTTTATGAAAGTAACATTTAGACCCAATACATTTCTTTTAATTTGTCAGTTTTGTCATAACATTGTAATTTATCTATATATTTATTAGATAAACAACCAATGAGTATTTAATTTAACAAGTAGTAGAAAAGTAAAATTGCAGTTCTCTTCTCTGAAAGTACAAACCTGTGCAATGGGGTTGATGTTCACTTCCTGTCGAGAAGGCGCCACCGGTGCAACACTGGCCTCCTGATTAGTTTGATTAGTTGCCACAAAGCTGAAACCCCGAAACAGCTGGTGTGTGTTTGCACTTGGCGGGATGCCAGGCGAATCTGGATACGGAAAGGCACAAACACACAGATATTCTCTGAGAAACATTTAAAAGGGAATCTTAATGCAAGATTTGCTCCAACAACCAGATGTTAAATCAGAGGATTGAAATGGTCTCCTTTTATGAAGGATGTTTGTCACCTACATATTTTCATCATGCATGTGTTTTGACAATTCAAGTTACCTGTTGGTGTTCTGGAAGTGAACTCTGGGTCAAAATGAAAAGTGTCTTCGGGTCTACCAACAGTGGGTTTGAACGGAGGCCTCATTTCTTTCCTGTACAACTTCTACAGAAAGGGAAAACAGCACAGTTTCATCCACAGCTCAGGATAAAAGTATCAAACGACATGGACATGATAATAAAAACCATAATAATGTATGTAGGACATGGCAAAGAAAACTTTGAAGCTTTCTTTAAAGTTTCTAAACTGGCATCTTTCTAAACGATCACAAAACCCAAATAATGCTTCAAAACCTTTGACACATCTCTGTCTTACAGTAACACAAACTAAAATTTAATTTTGTTTATTGTTAATTTAATTGTTCTAACTTAGAAAAAAAAAAACATACCCAATATTGAAATTTAATTTTATCTAAATAAAATTAGGGAAAATACAGCAAAAGAATTGTGAAACGGGGTTGAGAATGTTGCAATAGCAAATTATGACCTGCAGGTGTCGCTATGGTAAAGTCAGTTTGATGGAAATAACCTTGAAGTCAATAGAATAGAATAGAATAGAATAGAATAGAATAGAATAGAATAGAATAGAATAGAATAGAAACAGCCTTTATTGTCCCACGGATGTGAAATTCAAGTATAACAGCAGTAACAGATAAAAAGATTCACAATTCATTCACTAGGATTCCCAGAACAACACAAAACCACTCTGCTTGATAAGAGTCTGTGTTCAAATAAAATCCTTTAGTCAATCACTCAGATACTATGCAAACACCAAAGGAAAGTGGGTTTGAAATGTACACAACATCCCAGTACATTTCAAACCCAACAGGACTCTCAGACAGAGGCTGGTCCACCCTAAGGACAAAACACCCATACACAAACAGAGTGGTGTGGTCTATGCAGTTCAGTGCCATGAGGAATGTCCAGATCTTTATATTGGAGAAACCAAACAGTTACTTCACAGACACATGGCTCAACACAGGAGAGCCACCTCCACAGGACAAGACTCAGCTGTTCACCTCCACCTCACAGATAAGGGGCACTCATTTGAGGACCAAAATGTTCACATTTTGGACCAAGAAGACAGATGGTTTGAGGGGAGAGTGAAGGAAGCAATTTATATAAAAAGAGAGAAACCATCTCTAAACAGAGAAGGAGGCCTCAGATTTCAACTTTGAAAAACTTATAATGCAGCTTTAGGAATGTTACCCAGGCAGTTTTCACACCTATCAGATGGGACCAGAGGGTTACGAACCCCTCCTGTGAGGTGTGATAGGTCAGTCTGCATATGTATGTGTGTATCTTATATCAGCTGAACCTCACTGCGACCTGTTTCTTTGAAATGAGAAAGCTTCTCGAATGAGAAGCGAAACTTCTTCTGTTACAAATAAAGTCCAGTTGTTTTTGTCTTGAACTTTTTTGAATATGCATTTACTCCTTTATTTATTTATTGAATAAATCATCCAATACTCTCAACCTTTCAGAATGAAGGAGTCTGAAGTATTTTTTACTTTTACCCATTGATTCAAATCAGGGGGCTGCAACCTGCGGCTCTGGGGCCACATGTTGCTCTTTGTTGCATCCGCAGTGGCTCTTTCAAGTTTTGACCAAAACTATCATAAAACTAAATTTTATTGGCTGTTATAAAAACAAACAAACAAAAAGTACTCATTTTAGCTATTTTCCTGTCATTTCTTTTGCAAATTAACTTTTTTGCTTTATTTCTATACTTATATATCCACAATAAAAAAAAAAATCAAACAAATCTATAGTTTTTTTTTTATTTTATTTAATCACCCCCCCCCCCCCCCCACACACACACACACACTTTTTTTTTTACAAGAATCTGGTCTTTTCATTTGTCTTTGTTAAAATATCAATAAATGTTAATAATCATTAGATATTTTTAGCTTTATGTCATCTCAACTGGCCACAAAAGTCTCCTCCAACAAACCTAAAGTGGCCCATGGGCCACCAGTTGATATTCACAGTTGTAGCAGGTTGTTGCGGCTCTGGGCATGTATAATTTAGTGAAGGAAGGTGAAAAATGGCTCTTTTAGTCATAAAGGTTACAGTCCCCTGGTTTACATAATCAGTCCCATAGTTTCATGTTCAGTACTTATATCACTGACAATGATATCAGATCAGTTTTCTCTTAAGAGGATTAGGAGAACAGAAAGTGACTTGTATACATATACACATAAAGTGTAGTTAATGTTTTGCTTCTTATAAAAAAGAAGTGTTGAGTAGCTTTTAATGGCTCAGTGGACACAGAAAAATGTTTCTGGAGTTTGTATGTTACTCAAACATATAAAAGAAGCATTTCCAAGAACTAAAACTCTGGACAAGAGGGATTAGAGAGCAGAGAATAATCCTTTTCAAGCAGCAGACATCAAAGCACATAATGTAAGGTTACATGATGATATCACATGCAATGTAGCACTTTTGAATTTGTGCAAACTCTTTGACTGAGAGGCATTTATAGGAAAAAAAAAACATGTTTGAAAGGAAATTATTAATTCACGTGTAGCCTATCTATGGGAAATCTAAAGGAGTGAGAAGAGAGCAATCTTCTGGGATTTAAATGTGCTGAATTAAAGATTTTAAAGTCATAAATCCAAAAATCACATCTCAAAAATACAACTCACATTTGTTAAATCATAAGACATGAGATGATTTTTGACTATATGATATATATATATATATATATATATATATATATATATATATATATATACATATATATATATATATATATATATAAGTTCGTCAGTATGTCAACTTTTCATTATCCTTTAGACAACAGCTTTATCATAAAAAGAAGAGTAAAAGCCAATATAATATGTTGTATAATACGAAATATGTTTATAAAATCGCACTTACATCCCAGTCTATAGACGCAAAGAAGCGATGCCTTTTAATTTCCTCGACTCCGTCCGGTCCGGCACCTGTCAGTCACACACATCAAGATAAAGATGGAAATGATTCTAATGAGCGAGAAACAAACAGGGAGGCCTAAAACACCTTTAAAGTGTGATGTGTATCACAATTAGCAGATGACTGCGAAAACATCCAACCTCACTATACATCTGAAAGTTAAAATAATATAAAAAAAGAAAGAATGGGGACTATTATAAAGGTCAGTAGTCAAATATGGTTCATGCATTGCTTCTTTATTTTTAAAATCCTACAAAACTGAAGCCTCTTTGGACAAAAATGCTCTTTTTAAGAAATGAAAATTACAAACGAACATAATGACAAAATTATAATGCATATCTGTTAGAAAACTATTATTTTTAAAGATAAATAAGTAACGTTAAGAAAATGATCCTGAATATAGTCATTTAGTTTTCAGAAACTGCTTTTACAAACCCAGTCAGATATCCTAAAGCTCTCAATCATGTACAAATTAGGCAATTTCAAAGTAATTCATCTGGTATACTGGAACCAATGAATTTATAATAAGGGATCATTTTTCAGCTCTGCTCAGTCATTAGACTTTTTTACACAACCGTTGGGACATATTAGAGGGAAAAATGTGCAGAAATGGAGATTAATTTTGGTTTGTAACCATACACATCCTTGTTCATCACTCCTTACATGACTAGAAATATGTCTGCAATAGAAAACACAAAACTGGGAATTGCTAATGTTAGAATAATGTACAAAACTATTAACATTAGCATAAATAAATAAATAAAAAACAAAAATACACACCAAATAAACATATTGCCATGGTAAAATCTTGATTTTAATTAAAAGAAAATATAGCGTGATTTTAAAATCTCCTATACAAATGGATGACAAAAAAAAAGTTGTCACAAAAAATGAATGAATTTAGCTCTGAATAGTGTTTCACTTTTGGTTAATTCAACTTTCTGCAGATGTTTTGTCTTGCTGATCTAATGCTCCATCAGTTAAATACTCATCTTAACAATTGGTAAAACAAAACTACAGAGAATTAGTCGTACAGAAGTCCCTCGTTTGTCCCGGGGGTTTCTGTTCTCAGCCCCCTGTAGTAAGTGAAAAACCCCAAAGTAGAAATAGTAAGTACAAG